ACCGGAATCGAACCTGGGACTCTTCAGTCTGCAGGCCGATGCTCTATCCACTGAGCCAAACCGGTTAGGGCAGGAGGCAGCTTATCAATGATTCTCTCTCATCATTGATGTTTCTGTCTCTCTCTCCATCTTCCTTCTTCCTCTCCATCTTTCTCTCTGAAATAAATAAAAATATTTTAGAAAAGTTTTTAAAATATATATATTTTTTTATTTATACACATGTGCACAATGTGTGAGTATATGTGTTGTACATCATACATACTCCCCGAAAGTGTATCCTTTGAGTGCTCTAATGTAGCTACCACCCTGTTTCTTTGTCTTATTTTAGAATGCAGTTAAGTCCTTGGGAAAATCACTTATGTCATCAGCGAGGAATGCCACCAAAATAGCTTCTCACTTAAGTTCCCATCCCTAGGGCTCACCCACAGGAGGTTGCGATAAATTCAAATATTTAATAACTTGTCTTTTTCTTTCTCTTAAACACAGGCCCTCTGGTCCTGGAGGCAGGATCATGTGGTGGAATCTTGGCAGTCAGCAGTCTGTGGAGCTTTTGCAGGTGCAAAGGATTATATTATACTGGGAGAGACCAAAGAGGGGGGGGATGTGAAAATATTAACTATGCAAAAACAACATTCTTTAGAAATTCCAGATTGTTCAGATGAAGAGAGTTCCACTAGTTGTTTGAGAAAAGAAAGTGTCTTAGGAAAATGAAAAACCTAAAAAGGTGTCTCCTTGAAAGACAACCAATTTGTTTTTGACAAATTTTTCATTTTCTTTTATCTTTATTAAAGCCTTCACTCAGGCCCTGGGGTCATCTTGAGGAGGATTTATAAAGTCCTGTGCGGGACGAGGCTGGCTTGGGGCAGGGCTGCCTGTGCAGCTGCCTGCCCTGAGCAGTGCTGGGGGTTAAGCGAGCCCTGCAGCAGGCGGTGACTCACGGCCGTGACATGTTTGACAGCACCACAGATGAACTGGTATCAGGAGGGGGCTGCTCCCAGTGTACTGAAGGCTACACTGCTGTGTAGAAAATAGGGACATCGAAACATCTGGGCATTTTCTAGACATTCACCGAAGAGCAAAGTGACAACATGCAGTATTGTGTCATCCATCCCGACGTCATAGGCCTTTCCCAGTGAGGTTCCAAGGAGAACTCAGATGCTGTATGGAATTTAATAAGTGACAGCTTTAACATTCTAAGAGAGAATTAGAATTGTAGTTGATATAAATCGAAGTGGAGGTTTGCCAGAAAGCTGTGAATTGCTAGTGTAGATGTGAAGCCAGTAGTATGTTGATAGATATGAAGTTTAGATGTCAACTTTATTAGAAAAGAATTATTTTTTCAATTTGTTTAATGGTTGTTGGATTGGGTTTTTTGTTGTAGTGATTAGGAAAACAGGGAACATACATTCTATAGGATTCTTTATTAATGATTGGGCCCACTTGACTTGTAGAATTGATAATCAAAAATAAGAATGTTGCCTGTAGACCTGAAGCCAGCTCACACTGAGATGAAGGGGATTTGTTTCCACGTGACATAGTCATCAGCTATGCTCAGTGGGGCGGTGGTCTGGACTGGCTTTCTGGAGGGCGGGCACGTGTCATTCCCCTCCCTGGGTGGCAGCGTGCATTTTTGTTGACTCCCTCTGGGCCTGGGGACACAGGGAGCACTATGGGAATGTGGTTGCCTGGATAAAGAAAGGCCACTTTTTAGTTAGCAATACCATAAACCCTTCTGTATGTCGAAATAGGAAGTATACTAGTATATTCTCAGACCCCATTCCTTAAGTAACTGGTTCAGATATTTGCTTACAATGCATTGTTTCTATTAAGGAAATTGGCATTCGTTACCATTCCTTTTTCGGAATAATGTTCTATAATAGGCACTAAGGGGGAATGCCCACTGATCTGGGATCCCGGAGGCAAGGCCTTTGGAGGAAGGTGGCTCCCACGTGTCCAGTGACAGCAGAGAAGCCGCCACCTGAGCTGGAAGGGCTTTGCTGAGAACCACACAGCCCTGCCCGCCAACTGGTTGGACTTACGAAAGTGGTCAAGTCTCCGTTCTGCCGCTGACTAAGGAATGAGGCTTTGGGGCCGTCCTGGGCACCAGCTTTCTTACCTGTGATGTAGAAGCAGCCCTCCCTCCCTGAGGGATTCCAGTACTCTAGCATGTGTTAGTACTTTGTAATTGATGAAACTGAACAGACCTAAGGAACTGTTACTATTTCAATAAGAGCAACCAGCACCCAGGAAATGAAAACTATCACAATAATTTCAATTGCGTTGAAAGAATAGTATTAAAGTTACTGTATACAATCATCTCCTCTGATACAATCATCTTAACTTTTTTAGCTGAGGTTCTGATAAGTGAAGGAGTTTATCCAAAGTCTGCAAAAATCCATTGTCAGGAGACCCACATATATTTAGCAAAAGAGAAAATCCATTTCTTGTTTATACCCCTTTTGTTCTGAAAGTTTCCTTGGCACAGTGTTGACCCTGAGGACTTAGTTAGTACTTTAGACCTTTCTGAAAGATGGCCGCCATTAGGGAACACTCCCGGTGGGGAAGCTGACCTTCTGTGAGAGTTGCTGCAGCACTGCCTCCCAGCCGCGGAGGGCTCGCCATCGGGCCGCCCTCCGAGATCGCACAGGCTGGCCGGCGCACTTTCGGACTCGGCAGGCGTATGTGGTCATAAAGCAGCGGGCAAGCTGGCCCTCAAATCAGAAGCCGGGTTTCTCGTTCCTGTGTGCCTGGCCCGTCTGGGCCTCCGTGGCACTCTGTGCCGTGCACTGCTTGGCACAAATATCCAGAAGTGGCCCCTGAGAGTGGAGGTGTTGATGGCTTGTCATGCTCAGCAGGTCCTTTGGGGTTAAACTAGGAAGAAAAAGGACTTTGCAACTTTCGCACTTCAAGTTAACGTCTAAACATAAAATCATAATTCAGCGTATGTAATAATGACATTTGCTATTAGAGTGGTAATTGCTATTCAGTGCTCTCTGATCAGTTTCTTATAACTAACACCGATTTACATTCTCTAAGAGAGGAGAGTGACAGAGATGTAGATATGGATAGACAGACAGACAGGCCTTCCCATGGCTTGAAATTCTAGAATAGGGTGAAGGGTTATCTGGGTAAATGGAAGGCCCAGCACAATCTTTAAAACAAACACATTGGATGGTGAAGCCCTAGCGCTGCCCTGGGCCTGTTTGGAGGGAGGGGCCAGCAGGGACCACGCTAGCAGCTGCTGCTCGAGGGGCAGCTCCAGACCTGCCCTGGGACCTAGCCCCTTGGTCTCGAGAGCTCAGTGTCACAGGCACGACATCTGGTCCCTGCCTCTGCCCCTGGAAGCAGTTCTGACCTTGCAAAGATCCCAGTGCAGAGCAGCCCAGAGAACACGGTTCCCTGGGGTCTGAGCATGAAGCAGCCATGGTTGTCATAGCAGACAGCTGTCCTGGCCAACGTACTAGCGTGTCCCTCAGTTATTACCAGCACTTCACCTGTGGAGAGCAGGACGTTTTAACGAAAGTGCCGGTCGCCCGGCCCTCCTGTATGACCAGTTACACTAGTACGCGACCTTCACACATCCTTCCTGCCGCCTCATAAAAACATGGCGAGGCCTATGACTTGGGGAATCTTTGATATTTGAAGATATTCAAATTGATTGATTAGCAACTTTTATAAAATAGCTTTCCTTGTGGTAGTAAAATTAACACCTATTTAAGCATATGTGCTTTCGTCTTTAACTTCTCTTCATATTACTTTGATGAAACAGAAATCTCTAAGAAAATACTGCAGGCATCCCCAGTAAAGGAACAGGAACTTTGCTAATGGCCAAAACCCGTTTAACGTGCAGTATCCAACTTTATTAGAAGGCAGACACTTTTCACCGCAGGCGACTCACAACCTTTAAAGTCGTCTTGGTTGGGGACAGTTTGTGAACATTTTCAAACAAGAAAAATGGTGTATGCTCTTCGGAGTTTTAAAATTTAAGTGGATAAATTTTAATGTCCAATATCAAAGTCTTTATGTAGTGAAAGAGCTAAGACACACATGGCTGTGAGGCCCCACTCCCCATTATCTGTGGTCCCTGGGCCAGCTGTTCGCAAGATCAAACCCTCCACAGCAGCGTCTAGCCAGGCCGCGTTCCAGGCACAGAGCTGGCACAAATGGCAGCTTGGAGCTCCCCCGTACCTCCTTTTCAGAGAACACGTTGAAATCTTCAGTTTGCCTGTGGTCCCTGGGCCAGCTGTCCGCAAGATCAAACCCTCCACCGGCAGCGCCTAGCCAGACCGCGTTCCAGGCACAGAGCCGGCACAAATGGCAGCTTGGAGCTCCCCTGAACCTCCTTTTCAGAGAACACGTTGAAATCTTCAGTTTGTGAAAACTACAGACACTTGTCCAGAGCACCCAGGAAGCATTTTGAGGCCCTACTATGTGCGCTGGTTGGAGATGTGAAGAACCTCTGCCCACCCAGACAACAGCTCATTACGTTGAGCACCAATGTGCGCCAGACACCACTCTAGACACGTGCATGGACTCACCTTGCTGTCTGCATGTCCCCGATGAAAAACGGCGCCACTGGAAGTCCCAGTGGCCAGAGCTGAGATCTGGAGTCAGACAGAAAAGCCCGCGTCTCAGCTCTGTGAGGAGGAAAACCCAGTGACTTACGCTCTCCACGCTTCCGCTTCCCTCCTGTGCCTGGGGCAGCCAGATGCCCAGCGGCCTGCAGGGCTCTTTCCCATGACTGGTCAGCCAGGACAGCAGGGAGCCCGGAGAGCAGGGAGCCCGGACAGCGGGGGAGCCCGGACAGCGGGGAGCCCGGACAGCGGGGGTCTATTAGCTACGAGCCTGGCTCTTTCCGGCCCTGCAGCGAGCGCAGGGAAACAAGACAGTCAGGGGTGGGGGTTCAGGGTCAGTGCCTCCTCCTTCCTTAGGATTTTTTTTTAATGGATGTGAAGCCTTCCTGGACCCTTTTCTGTAATTAAAGTATATATACTCTTTTAGTGTAAAATATGTGGTTAAAAAATTAAAATTATAGGATTTCAGGACTGGGTCCACAAAATTTTAAAATACAGTGGGGCCTTGACTTACAAGTGTCCCGACTAACAAGTTTTTTGAAATACCAGCTGTCTCTCCGCCGATTTTTTGCATTGAGTTGATAGGGTAATTTGAGTTAACGAGCTCGGTCTCGGAACGAATTAAACTCGTTAGTCAAGGCCCCACTGTACTTGAAATTTAGCCAAGACTTGCAGTATCAGGCAACTTTTGAATCTGTAGAAAAATGTTTCACATGCTCATACAAAAGTGGCTTAAAAAAGGAGACTCATATTCATGTTATTGGTCCTCTTTAGCCCTAAATATGTGTCATTTGTGGGTAACCAAAAGTGGAATATAGAAGCATAAGTGGGTACGTCTTTAAAAAGTTGTCATCTCAAAGTTACCAGATGGAGGAGGTTCATGTAATGATTGCTCTTCAGCAACTTATTTAGAAAGATATTTGGCAGAGATCAAATGACCTTCTTGCCCACATGCCACAGAGCTGGAGGGAGAGGTGCTATTTCTGGAGCATCCTCCACACATGTGCTCTGCAGCCTCTCACAAAACTGCCCACTTCACTCGAGTTCATGGGTGCTGAGTCTGTGCAAGTCCTTTGAATTTATTCTACCTCCTTAGGGCCTCCCGGGGTTTAAAACATATCTTTGTATCATTAATTAGAATATTGGCACCATATACTGTGGGTTCTGTTGTGTGTGTTTTTTTAACTGTCCAAAGATTGGACCCCATTTAAAATGTTTGGATTTTAGACAACCCCGGTTTTTAGACAGTCCCAGGTGGCATGGGAGAGGAGGTCGGAAGGAGCCACGAGGTAGAAGCTATTAGGGCAACACTGGCTCTGCCCAGATGCAGAGCGGGCTTAGCAACATTGTGCCCCCACCGCCTGCCACCAGAAGCCTGGACGTACGGAGAGCTTTACTCTCTAAACGTTTTTACCTCGAAGCATCCAGCCAGTTTATACCAGAAATCCCCACCGTGATATACGTGTTTGCCCACCTTGCCTCAGAGCAGAAGCGATGGAAGCGTTTTGGAGTCAGATAAAGAACAGTGGCCGCAGGAGGCCTGGCCTCGGGTCCCTGGGAGCGGCCGCTCTCCCTGCGAGCAGGTGTCTGCCGCAGACGCAACCATGTGGACACAGGGCTGTTTCCTGCTCCGCAGAAGAGCAAGGCTGTGGTGGGGCCTCGTGGGCCTGAGCAGGGAAAGCATGACCTGGTCACCTTGCCATGCAGTGTGGGTTCACCACAGAAGCAGTGGCGTGTGGGTACATGTTTTCATGTGCGCATCCCGTTCTTGAACCAATCAAGTGGACGTAGTGATAAAGGAGTGATTTGGGCAGAGTTATGGGGAATTGTAAAATAAAAGTTACATAGTACCATGTAGTAAACAGCCTGTGCTCGGGTTTTATATGCACAGGTGGATTTGCAGCTGTGGTCACCACGCCCCTGGATGTGGCAAAGACAAGAATCATGTTGGCGAAGGTAAGTGGTAAAATAGGTAATGAAGGCACAACCGCCGCTCCTACCTGCTGGCGCTAGGGCTCGTGTGGACACAGAGTGACCGAAGTGGAACACTGCCCTGTCCCAGCAGCTGTGCTGCCTGGGGAGCCGCCGGCAAAACAGTGTCCATGTTGTCACACGGCCAGTGCCCACAGCATTCCACCTTCCCGGTCATTTCCGACTACGTCCCGTAAGCAGGCAGGGCTGGCGGGCCTCTGCTGTGAGCGCACTCAGGTCTCCTCTGAGCCCCAGCGCGTGCATCTGCTCGCGTGCACCATTAGCTACTCAGGTACATACTGTTAAAATTTTTTCGGGAAAAAGAAAAATTGTTTTTTAAAAAAGCTACAGACTTCGGGGGATGCCGTACATATAACATATCTGGTCCAAAACAATAAAAAATAGTCATTCCCTTGTGGAAAAATGAACAAGCAGAATTCTAGCATGTGGGCCGACAGGACCAACCTCAGAGCGCCAGCTAGGTTTCACACTGGACATGGCGCCCTGTAGAAAGCGTGTCTATTAGCTACTCAGGTACGTACCAGGTTTCACACTGGACATGGCGCCCTGTAGAAAGCGTGTCTATTAGCTACTCAGGTACGTACCAGGTTTCACACTGGACATGGCGCCCTGTAGAAAGCGTGTCTATTAGCTACTCAGGTACGTACCAGGTTTCACACTGGACATGGCGCCCTGTAGAAAGCGTGTCTATTAGCTACTCAGGTACGTACCAGGTTTCACACTGGACATGGCGCTCTGTAGAAAGCGTGTCCATTAGCTACTCAGGTACATTTCCCAAGCAGACCATTCTTCTCAGAGACCTACCTGCTCGGGTGGCACAGGAACTGCCTGGTTTGCTCTGCCCCTCATGTGGCCCTGAGACGCCAGCAGAGCAGCAGGACCACCAGTGCTGCCCGTAGGCTTAATGTGAGCCCTTCTGGTGTAGCGAGACCCAGGGGTCCTGACTCCCCCGAGCCCTCCCTCAGTTTGGAACCGCCCTAGATGAGGGTAGCAGGTTGCCTGCCTCTGAGGACACCCGTCAGCTGGGTACTTTCACAAGCTAACTGCTTCCTCTCTGTGCTTCCATGCAGGCCGGGTCCAGCACGGCTGGCGGGAACGTCCTCTCTGCCCTGCATGGGGTCTGGCGCACCCAGGGGCTGCCAGGGTAAGCACAAGGGGTGCACAGCGGCTTCCTCTCCACCAGCTGGTGCCCCTGCAGCCTGACGTTGGACATACACCTTTCCCGCCTCTGCCTATGCCCTGGTCAGGGTCTCTGTATTTATATTGGGCAAAACATGGCATTTGCTTTTGCTTGTGTCAGACAATGTTGCTCAATCCAGGGATGCGGTGTCCCAGCCAGGTGAGGCCCAGCCCTGTCCACCCTGACTTGAGATGCGGGCCACGTGTGCCCTGCCCGCGCTGGGTGCCCTGGGGAGACAGGCACCCAGCTCTGTGATGCAGGGACCCCAGGGGGCAAGCATAGCACGCAGAGGGAGCCTTTGTGGTCTGGGCACTTTAACTGCTCCTAGCAACAAGTTACCTTCAACATCCCGCCGTGCTGACCCCTCGTTGGAGACACAGCGGGCTGCTATCAGCTGAGCACCCCAGACCTTTAGCATCACAGCCTTAGGAGCTCTCTCTCCAAAGTGCTGTTTCAACATTGCTGTTACCACCCAAGGTTACAAAGCGCTGGGGTCTGCACAGACACAGAATGGCCATTTCTCTCTGGAATCATCACCAGGAATTTTCCTGAGAGCAAAGCAGCAGCCACGTCTGGAGCAGAGTCGGGACTGAGCCTAGTGACAGGCCGGCTGGTGTGGACGGACGCAGCGGGTGGTGGGGCCGTGTTGTCGATTGGGTTGCGGTTTCATGAGCACTCGGCAGCAGTGTGTTTCAGCCAGTGGGTAGTTTGGGGACCATTTGCCTGCTGGTCAGACCCCAGGTAAGGCATTTGCAGCAGAATGGCCCGTCCTCAGCTCAGAATTCCCAGCTGGGAGTCTGGCAAGCAGGCGGGGATGGGTGGGTGTGGAGTGGCAGCTCTGAGGACGCAAGGACTTTCGGACAAGAACTGGGCTTAGCAGAAAGGAACCCTTGGGAGGGGGAAGGGCAGAGTGGTGGCCCCACGCCATGCTTAGCCACCGACGGCCACCACCCTGGGATGGAATTAGGGCCTGGTTGCTCGGTGCTGAGGCTGACGTGGACACCAGTTCCCCACTGAACAAATGGTGTGAGAAAGTGAGGTCTGAAGCAGCTTGGTTAGTAGCAGATAAGATTCTCACTGGCCCAGGTGGTCGTGGGCCACAGAGGCGTGGCATGCACCAGTGTTAGATCAAGTCAAGCTGCCGAATTCCACTCATTCATTTCAATATAGTTCCTATCGGATTCTGTGCAGTCGTGGTCAAACCTGTCCTCTTGCCCTGAGCTCTGTGGACTTGGTGTCAAGCTGGTGTGGTGCTGACCTCAGGAAGCGGGAAGGGTGACACTTTGGTCTCTTGTGTTGGTTCATTCCAAGTCCTGGCTCACATGTGCTTTTTCCAAAATGAAAGTGCCGCACCGCGTGCTCATCTGGCCCAGCAGTGGAAAGCGCTGGGAGCTGCTCAGCCTGCAGCGCCTTCCTGCCTTCCCTCTGTCCATCACCTGCTTCTTCCGGTGCCCTGTAGTGTCTGCCCGCCGGCTCCCTGCTGAGCATCGTCAGTCTGCTATCTCCTTCGATGGCTCACTCAACAGCCCTGCCTGTTCAAGTCTTTGCCTCCGAATCTAGTTGGGGCACTCACTGTACAAATTACTCTAAGGCAGTAATTATGTTAAATGATTCAAATGTCATCTGAAGAAATCATGAACTGCTTCCATCTGCCTCTGGCCAGGAGCTGCTGAGCTCACGAGCAGCAAAAGCTGAACCCAGACACTGGCTTTAGAGGGGAGTCGGGTACAATGGAGCAGGGGAGACCTCGTGGCCACAGTCTTCCAGCCCCACCTGTGCCTCTGCAGGCAGGTGGCTCTGCTCGGGCCAGAGGGACACAGTGGCCTCAAACCTGTGTCTGCAGGCAGGGCAGGGAGGGACTCTGCTCGGCCACAGGGACACAGTGGCCTCAAAGTGGTAATTTATGAGTTTCTGTCCTCACCTACCACTTCATGTAAAAACAATTTGCATGATGCTGAGATAACTTTTTTCTTACAAGTATATTTTGGTCTCCTATAGAATTTTCATGGTTATTTCTAGGTAAGAAAAAGAGGTCTAGTTTTATCTGTAGTATTTTAATTAATGATTTAAATCCTAACTTAGATAATTAAAATAAGGACCCATTGCCCTAGCCAGTTTTGCTCAATGGGTAGCGCATGGACCCGAGAACTGAAGGACCTGGATTCAATTTCAGTCAAGGACACGTACCTGGGTTGCAGGCTTGATCCCTGGCCCTAGTCAGGGTGCATGTGGGAGATAACCATTCGATGTGTCTCTCTCACATAGATGTCTCTGTGGCTCTCCCCCTTTCTTCTACTCTCTCTAAAAATCAATGGAAAAAAATCCTCTGGTGAGGATTAACAAAATAAATAAATGAAAATAAAATAAGGACCTGCTCACACTACCCTAAAGTCCACTTTCTGCATACAAGGGGAGGCAAGTTGCTCTCCCGCAACACAGTGCACACAGGAAGCAGCCAGGCAGCTGTGGCCGGGCAGGAGGGCTCCTTCTGCTGTTTTGTGGGGGGCCACCGCCTAGCTTTCCATGGTGGCTTCCCCATCTCTGGAAAGAGAAACTGCTGTTGGCATAACCTGGCTATTGTCCGTTTTATTCCCTAGACCTGATCTTTTCACTAGTAATTTACTTCTGCTGATTTTGTAATTTTGTTTTCTGCTTACAAAAGTAATACTCTTGGTTAAAAAAGTTCAATTATTCCAGAAATATAGGCAGGGAATGCTTTTTATTTCACCTTCAATTTTACATGATAGCCTCGCTGGATACAGTAGTCTTGGATTTAGGCCCTTGCTCTTCATTACTTTGAGTACTTCATGCCACTCCCTTCTGGCCTGAAGTGTTACTCTTGAGAAGTCAGTTGACATTCTAATGGGGACTCCTTTTTATGTAATTTTCTCTCTCTCGCTGCCTTTAAGATTCTTTGTCCTCAACATTTGCCATTTTAATTATGATGTGTGTAGGTGTGGGTGTCTTGGGGTTCATCTTGATTGGGACTCTGTGCCTCCTGAACTTGTGTGACATTTTCCTTCATCAGGTTGGGGAAGTTTTCTGTCATTATTTCTTTATACAGGTTCTCTGTTCCTTGCTCATCCTCTTCCCCTTCTGGTATTCCTGTAATGCGGATGTTGTTACATTTCATGTTGTCCCAGAGCTCCCTTAAGCTGACTTCCCACTTTTTAATATTTTTTTCCTATTTGCTGCTCTAATTGGGTATTTATTTATACCTTGTCTTCCAAATTGCTGACTTGGCCCTCTGCTTCCTCCAATCTACTTTTAATCCCTTCCAGTGTGTTCTTCACATCAGACAGATCACTCTTCATTTCTGTCTGGTTCTTGTTCATAGCCTCTATTTCCTTTTTCATGCTGTTGTAATTTGTGCTAAGTTCTTTTTCTTTTTTAAAAAAATATACTTTATTGATTTTTTACAGAGAGGGAGAGGGATAGAGAGTTAGAGACATCGATGAGAGAGAAACATCAATCAGCTGCCTCCTGCACACCCCCTACTGGGGATGTGCCCGCAACCAAGGTACATGCCCTTGACCAGAATCAAACCTGGTACCCTTCAGTACACAGGCTGACGTTCTGTCCACTGAGCCAAACTGGTTAGGGCTGTGCTAAGTTCTTTAAGTTCTTTATAACCATTGCTTTGAACTTTATGTCTGATAGGTTGCTTGTCTCCATCTCATTTAGTTCTTTTCTGGAGAGTCCTTCTTTTCTCTCATTTGGGGGTTGTTTCTGTCTCCCCATTTTAGCTGTCTCTTTGTATTTGCTCCTACCTATTACATAGAATTGCTATGCCTCCAAGTCTTCGTGGGATGGTCATATGTAGAAAGTATCTTGAGGGGTCCAGTGGTGGTTTCTTTGTTCTGCTGAGCTGGATGCTTTAGGAATGCCTCTTGTGTGCATTGTGTTCTCTTGTTGTAATTGGGACTTGATTATCAATGTCCCATTTGTGGGAAGGATCTCCCCTCCAACTTGCCACCAGAGGTTCAACCCCAATGTCATCATGCCAGCTGTCCAGTGTTCAGGGACTCCTTAGTCCAGAACCTGGGTCTGCCTTGAGTCTCACACCTTGATTGACCCTGTTCTGAGCTGTGCTTCCTTCCCCCGAGGAGCTGGTTCCACAAGTGTCAGCTGCAGGTGCTTGGGGTCCTGCTAGCTTTTGTCTGCCTGGGATGGTGTCTGCAGTGGGGGACCCAATATCTGATACTAATTAGATCAGGCAAAGACTCAAAGCCTCCAGAGACCTGCCTCTGCCTGGAGACTGATTGGATTCAGTCTGGAATATCCTCGTGCAATCATCCACAGGTGGGGTGAGAGGTTTTCCAACAGGGTGGGGCAACTGCTTCTGCCTGGAGGCTAGTTGTTATTCTGTATCTTACTGGGCCTCAGAAACTCCACAGTGTGGGGCAAGGGACTTTCCAATAGGGTGGGTCAACTGTCTTCTCCCGAGGCAAAAATAGCAGGATAACAAAAGTTTGCCTGAGAAAAGTATAACCTCCACAGTGTGAGGGAATGACTCAGCACAGAAAACTGAGGTGCTGCCTTCCGAGCTCTATCCCAGGATCCCCCAACCGTGGCTTATGTTTATACAGCTCCAGTCCTCTCTGCTCTCCCTCTACTGGAGCACAAGGTGAGTGGCTGCACATGGAATTTTGTGCATTGGCCCTGTATTAAATACAGGGTGCTTGTATTGCCTGCCATCTCTCCCTGGCAGGCTGCAACCTTGCTGCTTTTCACAGCCAGATGTTCTGTGGGTACCCTTCTCAGGTCTGGTGCTCTCTGCTGGGAAGCCCAGCTTGGGGATTAGACCCCAGAGTTCTCATTGGGAACCCCCCACAGCTGAGATAACCCTCTGGGACTTCAGCTGCTGTCTGTGGAAGCCCGGCCAGCCCTTTAGTACCTCTGCCCCTCCTACCAGTCTCTATGTGGTCTCCGCTTTCGGTCCTCAGGTATCAGGATTCTCTCCTGTTAGTCCTCAGTTGATTATTCAGGGTGGTTCTTCTGTATTTTGTAATTCCAATTTGGTCCTGGGAGCATGTCTGTTAGCTTCCACTTACTCCCAATATACTTCCCTAGTAACATTGTTTTTTTTACCTTGCATTTCCTTAATTATTCCAAAGTTGCAACTGTCACAGTGACGACTCCTGAGGTGCTTGGGGGCTGACCTTCTACTCCCTTCCCAGCCCCTTCCCTTCTTCTCCTTCACCAAAGGCAGGCGTCTGCTGCCTTCTGCTGTGCATCTTCCTTGTGGTCTCTTGGGACCCAGTGTGCCCGAGTCACTGGGCGGAGCAACAGAGTCGTCTGAAACCTCTAACCCCCGTGGCCACATGGGCTTCCAGGGTAGTGTGTCCTTCGACTCCTTTATAAAAGTCAATTCTATCATCTCCAAAGGCAAAAATCATCTGGAGGTTTAAACAGGACTATTGTGGGGACAGGGCTACTATTTTTGACTAATTGACTTTAATTGTGTTTGGTATGTAGCCACTTTCACCAACAAACAGCTGGGCTCAGACATTCACAAGTCGCCTTGGGAATGTAACTTAATGCTATTCTAAAAGGAAAAAACACACACTCTAAGTCAGCAGTTCTCAACCTGTGGGTCATGATCCCTTTGGGGGTCCAACGACCCTTTCACAGGGGTCACCTAAGACCATTGGAAAACACATATATAATTACATATTGTTTTTGTGATTAATCACTATGCTTTAATTATGTTCAATTTGTAAGAATGAAATTGGGGGTCACCACAACATGAGGAACTGTATTAAATGGTCACGGCATTAGGAAGGTTGAGAACCACTGCTCTAAGTACTGTGTGGGGTTTAATGAGCATGGTGTGTGAGTTGAACAAGCTGAGGGTATTGGAATTTTGCCTTCTTTACACACACACAATTAAGAAAACGATCTCTCCTTTGTTTTTCCCCCAGATTATTTGCAGGAGTCTTCCCGCGAATGGCAGCCATCAGCCTGGGCGGTTTCATCTTTCTTGGTGCTTATGACCAAACGCATAGCATGCTGTTGGAGCTTGGCAGAGAGAGCCCGTGAACCACACGCCCACAGCCACGCCTACAGGGGGCCGCTGTGAGAGCTCCCCCTCCTGCAGCTGCTGGGCCCTCTGAACATGCAGGCACTGAAGCCCAGTCCTGCAGGTTCACTCGGAGCACGACTTCCAGGCTACAGGCGACTGGGATGATGTCATCTACGTATTCGCCAGAAAATTGAGAGAAAACGATGCCAAGAGCAGTACTTTTAACAATTTTCTCAGAACCCCTGAATAAAGAAGTTTGGTGATGCTGAGGCCGGCCCCTCCGAGCTTTCATTTGACTGTATCTGCCCTTCCTTTCCTGACCTGGGAGCAGATAGAAGGAAGGCAGAGAGAGTGTGCTTTTGGAGGAATGGCTAGACGAGGACAGGAGACTCAGTCATGTGAGGTAGTGACTTCTTTGTAAGCTCACAGCTTTATTTAGAAAGAGTGACTACAGGTGCCTGAGCTGATAACCCGGCTGTTCTCGATGACCCTCAGATGTAACCCATGAAAACACAATTGCATTTGACAGAGGTGTTCAGTGGCTCAGGTGATCTATGAAAGCGAGCCAGCAGTAGCAGCTCAGTGACCGGTGGGCCTCAGGGCTGGAGGGCGGAGGGCATGCTGGAGCCTGGAGGCAGCTGGGCTGGCTTCGCAGTGTCATTTCTTAGTTCCCAGTCAGCTTTGCCTGGAGTTTTAAGCTCACCACGGGGGAGAGAGGGATGGAAGGGGAAGGTCCCCGTTTTAGAGCTTGACTGATAAGCTCCAGGAAAACGAGTCCCAGGAACCTCGTACTGCTGGGAGCCACGGTGTGCGATGTGCTGAGTCATGCACTGATCCCAAAGGTAAGAAAAGGCAGGACTGCACTGTCCGGGCATTTCTGGAATTCAGTGGGTGAGGCAGTGCTGGTTAATGTACACACAACCCGAGCCGCACACTTAACATTTATAAGTGAACTTTATTAAAGACACTTCACTGCCGCTTGTTAGACACTTCAATATTTTACACGTTTTTCAATGTACATTGTACCAAAATTTCTATAAATAAATAACTTTGTACATAAAAGTAATACTTCCTCTTTCACATTGCCTCTCAGAAGCAGCAAATTCACATGTTGTGGAAGTAACATCAGTTAACTGTTGAGAACAAAATTCTAAATGTGCTTACCTTTGGAACAGTGATTATCTGACAGTAAATTAACATAGTAACCATCTGTCAATACCTGCCTTCAGCGCGCTGGCTGAAGGACCTTGCTTTCCGAGCTTTTAAGGACCTTGTTAGTTTGAATGCAGTTTTTCCTCAAATACCCATTGGCACTCACAGGAGATCAGCTCCAAGCCTCACAAGTGCAAATCCCCCAGAACCCAAGGCACGGGCTCGTCTGTGCAAGGGAGGGACGTGCACAGGGCGTCCGGATCCTCGTGGAGATAAGCTCGCTCGCCCTGAAAGTAAGGACTTGATCCTCGTTCTCCCCTAACACCAACATAACACTAATTACATTGGCAGAACTAAAGCATCACTATTGAAAAATCCACAGGTACCAACAGCAGCAACCTCTCTCTTATTAGAAAGCCTCAAATGACAAGTGATCCTGACAGACATTCGCTTTATCACGGAAGGAAGAAGGCTTAATTGTTCAGACCAAAGGCTGTGGTGATTAACAACCCCCACCTTGCTCGTTAAGAAAGAGCTCGAACCTATGAGGAAAAGTCACTCAGTGCAGAGTACGTGACGTGAACAGGTCTGGGCGCAGGGAGGAGGTCTGCAAGGAGCACCCACTGAGCAGTACTGACGTGAAGTTACTTCCGATGCAAACCCAGCTCTGCCTGTGAAGCATCCGGGTCTGCCCTGCCATGTGCGATGGAGTCCGAGGGGTTCCTCCTCCCCCCGCCCCACACTCCACAAGAAATGTGGTTTTTAGCGTCTATAAATTCCATCCATACATTAAGGCACCAGAACTACCCCCACATTCCAAAATGAAACAGCAACCTGATAAGAAAAATATTGTCAAAACTGTACGATTTTCTGTTAACCATGCAATAAAGATTAAAATATCCTTTGTAAAAGATATATAACATATATGAAATCTCTGAAAACTCTTATGTACACAATAGCCTCTTGCATTCCGTGCTTCAGCTGCAAGTCCTTTAAACTACGGACACTCCCCTTGGAAGTTAAAACTGTACAGAGTGACGCTTGAACCCAAGCTTCCTCACAGCGCCTCCCTCTCCTCCCTGGAGACAGACAGCGCCTAGGCCCGTGGGGCGAACAGCAGCGGCCCGCTCCTCTTCCCGGGCAGCTGTCCTGTCAGTGGCGTGGACTCGGGACCGGAGTCACCTGCTTTGGGGATGTGTCCATTCAGCAGAAGCAAGCGCCGACCTTCGCTGGGGGCGTCGGGAGAGTCCAGGGCGGCTCGTGTGAGCTCAGAACTGCCCTGGGTCAGTGTCGAGGGCTGGGGGTCTATGCAGTCCGGCTCACACACCCCTGCGAACATCCATGGAGGGGCCCCTGCAAGAAAGGAGGGCCCATCAGACCTGGCCTGGCGTTTCCGTGCTGCCCCCTGCTGGGGACAGGAAGGCATGAAGACTTACCTTTCCCCTCTGGAGGCACCCCGGGCTTTCTCTTCCAGGGCGGCAGCATTCTGTCGTGGTTACTGGGGTAGAGGGACTCCCTGCGGTCGGGGGGAGACCCATCACCAGCCCCACTGTGGAGAATGTCCAGATGTGGAGAATGTTCTCTGTCACTCCCACGGGGGTCCTGGCTGCTCGGTGTACCTGGCTGTGTACTGTCCCTGGACGTCGGCTGAGGACAGAAGGCGTGTTCCTTGGAGTAACTGTCCACATCAGTGTGGCTGTCACTGCTTACAGCGGGGCCACTGGGCTCTGCAAGACACAGTGGAGACACTCAGCACCAGCGCCTGGGCCTCCACCCCGAGCCTGCTGCACCCCAGCACCGGGGCGGGCCGCTGAGATCACTACAACCCCCTGGGGCTAAGGATGGGGTCTTCCATGTTTACTTCAGATTTAATTTCTTCATCAGACAACTGGGATCACAGGAAGAAACCCTATTTGAATGGCTCCTCGCAGCATCAGGAGCTTCTGAACATCAGCAAGGAGCCTCCACAGGGCCCTGCTGAAAGGTCGGGCCTGGCGCTTCACTGATGTTGCTTACAAATCTGGAAAGTCCGTGCCCACAGGAGTATTTTAGAGACACCTACTCACACTCAGAGAGCCAGGCCCCACACCGCTTCCTGTTTGGATATGAAAACCCAATCCTGGGATGGCCTTAGACCATAATGCCTCTCTCTGAGGTCAACCCAGATTGGGATCTGAAGAACAAAACACTTTTCTGAGAAAGCATCTCACCCATCTTCTGTGGACCAGGTGTGCCAGCGGCTTTCTCTGTTGCTCTCCACTGCTCCTTGCTGTACCCAACACAGAGCCGGGGCTGCCTGCACGCGATGCTGGGAGCATCGGCCTCTGGAAAGAGGCCTGCGTCTCTCAGACAGACACCTGCAACAGAGGCCCACACTGTTGGAAGCGCTGGGCTCAGCATTTCCCGGGCACACTAATGAAAAGAGTGGGCGTCACTGCTAGAAGACAGGCGTTTCTAGAACACCCCTCCGAGGGGTGGCCCAGGCCCATTACTGAGTCTCCTTCCCAGCAGCAGGCCTGCCGCAGCCGCACAAGAAGCCCTGGGGGCCAAGCTTGCCAAGCACACGCTGTCCCCCACGAGTGCCTTGTGGGCGCGCGCGAGAGCTGCTGAGAGGAGACAGGGCTCTTAGCAAGAGACGCTGAGCCCCATGGAAGGATTTTCTGGGGGGGGCGGGGTTTTAACCTTGGCAGAACTTGCACAGGGAGGTCCAAAAACCCAACAGGCTCCAGTCACTTGCCTCCCAGGTCAAACATGCTCAATGTAATGCCATGGGAACAGGTGCATCAGACTTTGTGGCTTTACCATTGCTCTCGACATGTCCATTGGCCTGATGGCCACCCTCAGTCCTGAGCACAGTGTCCTGTCGGTCAGAAAGGGTCCCCTGAGAGGAGAGGTAGCTCGGAACATCCGGCGGCACAACGGTCTCATCTGCAAGGAGACAGGGCAGTCACCCCCAGGTCCCAGTCCTCTGTGGTGACAAGGACACAGACACAGGACGCCCCCCCCCCCCCCCCCCCCCCCGCCGTGCAGAACCTGGAGTCCTGCTCAGGAGGCCTCCCCAGTGCACTTCCCAGCCAGGTGTGAAAGGTGTGGCCATCAGATCCAAGTGCACAGACAGAAAGCAGTGATGGGAGAGAGTCAGAGCTGATAGACAGAGTTGCGCAGTAACGGCCCGCCACGGCAACGAGGTACACGCCCAGGACGCCTCTGACCACCCCAGGTAGGAGCCTGCAGAGCTCATGGTGCTGCACTTGACAGTCTTCTCATTAAACGTCCCATTCCTGGGAGTTAAAACAGTGCCAGGCACACTAAAGCTCACTGTCTAGAATGGCTCCAGGTTCCCCAAGGTTCTAGAGCAACGGTTCTCAACCTATGGTCGCCAACCTGTGGGTCGCGACCCCTTTGGGGGTCAAACGACCCTTTCACAGGGGTCACCTAAGACCATCGGAAAACATATATATAATTACATATTGTTTTTGTGATTAATCACTATGCTTTAATTATGTTCAATTTGTGACAATGAAAATACATCCTGCATATCAGATATTTACATTACGATTCATAACAGTAGCAAAATTACAGTTATGAAGTAGCAACAAAAATAATTTTATGGTTGGGGGTCACTACAACATGAGGAACTGTATTAAAGGGTCGCGGCATTAGGAAGGTTGAGAACCACTGTTCTAGAGTTTACATATACAGGAAGCCCTGGCCCAGCCTTCCCAACTGTCCCTGCTTCCCTCCCCCAGAAGCCAGCCACCAGCAGGGCACCTGTGTTGGTGACGCTGTACTCCTCCCTCTTGCGCCTGGTTTGGTAGATGATGCACACCCAGACTAAGGACGTCAGGACCACGCTGCACACCACAGCGATGGTGAAGATGCCCACGGTCGTCCCGTCCTTCCTGCAGCCAGGGCTGGGCAACACACTCAGCTGGCTGTGCGCCCGCTCGGTGCCCAGGGCATTGGACATCTCGCAGGTGTACCGGCCCGCATCCTCGGCCCCCACGTTCTGCACAACGAGCAGCTGGTTGCCGGGGGTGAAGTGGTGACGCTCGGTGAGGCTCAGAGGGCGGTCCCCTTTGAACCAGGTGATGCGGGGCGGGGGGCTCCCTGCCGCCTTGCACT